TCACTGTCACTAAATCGCTATACTGGTACAGCAGAAGGTTCACGTTATCCAAACAGTGTCCACTATTAATCAGTCACGTTACAGCTAATTTGCATTAACAAAATGCGTTATAACAGAAATACCTGTATATAAATGACAAAAAAAGTGGACTCAGCACTGATCCTTCTTGTAGCACGCTGCTGGTCACAGGCCTCAAGTCTGAAAAGGAACCCTCCATCACCACCTACCTTCAAGCCAATTTTGTATCCAAATGGCTAGTTCTCCCTGTATTCCATGTGATCCAACCTTGTCAACCAGTCTTCCATCTGGATCCTTATTGAAAGCCTTACTGAAGTCTGTCGCTCTGCCTTCATCAATCCTCTTTGTCACTTCAAAAAACTCAATCAAGTTACTGACAATTTCCCACACTCAAAGCCATGTTGACCATCCCTAATCAGTCCTTGCCTTTGCAAATACATGTAAATTCTATTCCTCAGAAGCCCCTTCAACAACTTACCCACTACTGTTGTCAGGCTCACCAGTCCAGAGCTCCCCGGCTTTTCCTTACCACCTTTCTTAAACAAAGGCACCAGATTAGCAAACCTCCAGTCTTCTGGCACCTCACTGGTGGCTATCAATTATGCAAATATCTCAGCAAGGGGCCCAGCAATTAGTTCTAGTTTCCCAGAGTAGTAGGGTACACCTGATCAGGTCCCAAGATTTATCCACCTTTATGCGTTTTAAGAGGTCCAGCACCACCACCTCTGTAAGATGGACACTTTAAGATATCTGTATTTATTTATTTCCCCAAGTTTTCTAGCTTCCATATACTTCTCCAAGGAATACTGATGCAAAATATTCATTTAGTATCTTCCCCATCTCCTATGGTTCCACACATAGGCAGCCTATTCTCTCCCTACTTACTCTTTTGTCCTTAATTTATTTGTGGAAACCCTTCTTGGATTTTCCTTAACCTTATTTGCCAAAGCTATCTCATGTCCCCTTTTTGCCATCCTGATTACCCTCAAGTATACCCCTACTGCTCTTATACTCCAATGGATTCACTGTATCTCTGCTGTCTGTGCCTGACATATGCTTCCTCCTTATTCTTAACCAAAACCTCAATTTCTCTTGTCATCCAGCATTCCCTTCACCTATCAGCTTTGCCCTTCACCCTAACAGGAACATACTGTCCCTGGTCTCGTTATCTCATTTATTTGAAGGCTTCCCACTTTCCAGCCGTCCCTTTTATCTGTGAATATCCACCCCAACTAACTTTAGAAAGTTCTTGCCTAATACTGTCAAAATTGACGTTCCTCCAATTTAGAATTCTGACTTTTAGATCAGGTCTATCCATTTCCATAGCAATTTTAAAATTAATAGAATTATGATCACTGGCCCCAAAGTGCTCCCCCACTGACACCTCAGTCACTTGCCCTGCCTTATTTCCCAAGATTAGGTCAAATTTGCCCCTTCTGTAGTAGGTTCAGCCAAATACTGATTTTAAAAAAATTCCTCTCCATCCAAGCCCTTAACACTATGGCAGTCCCAGCCTATGTTTAGAAAGTTAAAATCCCCTGTCAGTACCACCTTATTATTCTTACAGATAACAGAGATCTCCTTAAATTTGCTTCTCACTTTCCTGCTGACTGTTTGGATATCTATAATACAATCCCAAAAGATGATCATCCCTTTCTTATTTCTGAGTTCCACTCACTGGAATATCCTAAGTACACCCATAATGTTATCCCTAACCAACAACACTGCTCCCCTTTCTATTCTATCCTGGAACATTAGGCTGCCAGACCTGTCCATCCCTGAGCCACATCTCCGTGATAGCTATCTCAGCTCCACATTCCCAACCATGCCCCGAGTTCGTCTGCCTTACCTATCAGGCCTCTTGCACTGAAATAAATGAAGTCTTACTTCATTTTCTGCTTTGCTGCTGCCTGCCTTGACTATTTGACTTACTGCTTTTCTCATCTGCATCAGCCTCAGACTGATCCCTTTTCTCATTCTCTGGGTCGTCTACTAGTTTAAATCCTTCTGATCAGCTCTAGCTAATCTCGCTAGGGTATTAATCCCCTTCCAATTCTGGTGCAACTCGCTGTCCTTATACAGGTCAGTTCTACCCTAGAAGAGATTCCAATGATCTGAAAATGTGAATCATTCTCCGTTGCACCAGCTCCTATTTTTAACCTCCTGCCTAATTTCCTATTTTGTCACCTCAACCTCGTCCTTTTCTCTTCTTATGTCATTAGTTCCAGTGTACAATGACCTCCTGCAGATCTCTTTGACTACCCCCCCCACCTTTGGGAAAGCCACAAGAGACTCCTGCACTCGCTGCCTATTCTCCCAGATGTAGCCCATCTACCTGACTGTATCTGCAGTTTTTCTACCTTCCTGAAACTGCCATCCATCAGACCCCCAGCTCCTGTAAATTCCTCACTGCAGCAGCAGTTAGAGACAACCTATTCATGCGATCCAATAGGATTCGCAACCAAACACACTTACTGCAGACATAATCATCAGGAACATTGAAATTCATCCACATCTGACAGGAAGAACACTAAGCTGCAAAGATGGTCTTTAACAATCTAAAGACCCACCAATAGCACAGAAATACAAATCAGATCTTGGCAACGACAATAATGTCTTTTAGGGAAGGAAATCTTCCACCCTTACCTAGTCTGGTCTAACATGACCCCAGACCCACAACAATGTGGTTTACTCCCAACATAGCACATGGTCAAGGCAGCAGCTTACCATACCTCAAGGACAACTAAGGTCAGGCAATAAATGCTGGCCAAGCCAGTACACCCGCGTTCCAGAAATGTTTTTAAAAAAAAAACTGTTCTTTAAATGGCCTAGTGAGTCGCTCAGTTGTAGCCCATATTGCCTACAGGCAATACAGACTGGCCTGACCAGTGACACCACTGGGACTAGTACAAAAAGCCCATATTGTACATGACTCAAATGTTAAATAGGACGCAGAATGAAAAACCGAAGATTTCAGTGTCATGAGCATCAGTTCTTGACAGGCTTAGTCTTGGCTGTGACTTCATGCCAATGCACTGCTTGTGTGTGAAAGTGGTCACTTGGGCTAGATTAGAGAATCCAGTCAGAGAAAAGCTACAAACCAACAGCAGTCAGCTGCACAGTTCACCACAGTTAATGACTTTGAAAACCAATCCCTCAGTTTCATTGTTCTGATTTAAATTCCTTACTTTATCCCTCAGTGTGGGGCAAAGGCAGCTTGTGTGCCTTGCAAGAGCCCTCCTTCGAAAGACACGGATTCTGATTCTTGATGAGGCTACTGCGGCTGTTGACCTGGAGACCGACGACTTGATACAGTCGACTATCAGGACCCAGTTTGAGAACTGTACTGTTCTCACCATTGCACATCGTTTGAACACAATCATGGATTACACCAGGTGAGACAGGGTGACCATTTAAAATCAATAACATGACAATGGATTCCAGCTGGAAGCAGCCATCTAATGACCATTGAATGATTTTACTCACCTTTCTTTCTGCAGGGTCTTGGTGCTGGAGAGGGGGAGGATAGCAGAGTTTGATACACCAAGCAATCTCATTGCACAGAAGGGAATCTTCTACAGCATGGCTAAGGATGCTGGGCTGGTATGAGCTAAACCGTTACAAACCTTTGCAGCAAAGATGGTAGAAATCCTGGGCACCACGCTGGGAATTAGAGCTTCAGACCAACTGGTTCCGAGGTTAATGCCAAAGAAAATCCATTCTCACTCAGGAGACCAAGAGATTGCTTCTTTTTTGTAAAATCACTGAACAGCACTCTATTTTTGTACTTGATGTATTTATACGTTAAGCATTTAAGTGCAGGAGTTTGATTCTTTGTAAATATATAAAAGGAACTCCAACTACAGGAATATGACCCCTACAGGAGTTTGCTGTTTCAATAAAACAAGATTTTTACAAAAGGTATATCCATGGACCTGACTCGACGCGGGCGGGCGAGGGCGCGGGCGCGTGTCAGCACCATGGTAAAAAAGGAATTAGGAAACAAGTTGTTTCACCGAGAACAGTTATCAGACTCCCTATACCAAGCAGGACTCAGCTAGTAAAGTAGCCAATACACCAGCATACAAATAGCATGCAATTATAGTAACTTTGACAACATCTGAATGCTGGTTTGGTGATCCAAATGACTGTTGCATTCACTTTTCCAAGTGTTTTCCAGCCAATGAAACAGTCAAAGGCGTCCAGATTACCACAAAGATATTGCAAACAATGAGTTTTTTTTTCCATGGAATGTGGACATTGTTGGTGAGGTAGGCAGTTGCTGTCCATCCCTAATTGCCCTTGAACTAAACTGAACCAATACCAATACCAATACCATTTCAGAGGACAGTTATGGGTCAATCACATTGCTGAGAGTCTGGAGTCACCCGTAAGCCAGACCAGATAAGGACAACAGATTTCCTTCCCTAAAGGACATTAGTGAACCAAATGGATTTATATTATGCAATGATCATTTAATGATCACAATCATTCAGATTTAACCTTCAATCCCAAATTTATTAATAGAACTTAAACTCAACCAGTTGGCTGGTAGATCAAACATACCCAAAACATTGTGCAGGACCCTAGGAAGAATATGCTTCTTTGAAATAGTGCCTTTGGTTCTCATACATCCAGAGGATGCAGAAAAGATATCAGTTTAGATGGCTCATCTAAAATAGAAATTAAATATATGTCAGCATTCCCCAGTACAACAATGTCAGCCTGCTTTATAGGCTCAAGTCTCCACATAGGACTTAACCTTCAGACCCAACGAGTATTTGCCAACCAGACTGCAGCACAAGGTACCCACTGCAATTAGCAAGATGACGTTATAGAAAATAGAGGGATGCTGCACCCCAAAGGCTGTGACTGGTAATACAAGTACAAGAACAAGTTGACATGGCTTAGTTTAGAGATCAAAACTAACTCTTGCCCCACCTGAAAAAATGTGAGCCACAAACACAAGGCACAATGAAAGATTTACTGAAAAAAAATTTATTCATATTCAACACTAAAATTTGCAAATTACAGCAACCATTTTCAAAATACAGGAACAGCAGGGCAGGGAAAAACACTCGTCCTCACAGCTGGATGGGCAACTGAGAAAGAGGCAGGCAGCCTAGTACTACAAAAACCAAAAAAGAAGATAGTGGCGACAGGAGCATGGTAAAAATCAGCCTCTTAATCAAAACAGCTCTATACAACTTTGTGGCCTGTATATTTACAGATTGCAGTTTGCCAAGAAATTTAAACGTCAAGGAAACCATTGGGTATACATTTGCAGGTCACATGGTTTGGGTGCTGCTCACTTTAGTCTGACACTTGGAAAAAAAAACAGGACTCGAGTTCACTGTTAGTGAAAAAGAGTATTGCAAGCACAAGAAACGGGAACTTCTTTGGGCAGCTAATCATACATAAAAGTCCTGAAATGAATCCTTTTTTGCTTAAAAATTACAATTTCTCTCTCACTCTCTCCCTCTCCCTACACCACTACAGTTTTCTTTCACCTTGTTTTAACTGGGCAGAGACTTCAGGTCGAGCAGTCGAATCTTCACTGGGATTCCTTGACATCTTCAAAAACGGCCACGCCTGTAGAAATTAAAGATTCAACAACATGCAATTAGAATCATTGAAAATGGACGCATAAACTTGCTCACCATTGTACACAACCATTTATTTTCTGTTTTTTAAAAAAAGGCAAAAGGAAAGTACCTCTTGGAGACTTCCTACTGCCCTACACAGAGCACTGGTCTTCTGGGATTTCTGCTAACGACTGGCTACAGCTCTAACCTAGAAAAGGAAACCCTTTCTCAGAGTGTAAACAGCCCACCTCTACTGTATCCTTAAGTAGTGATTTACTGTAATCTCCCATCTGTAATGACAGACAGCATACAGAGTTTGTCAACCAATTTATCACACAACATAAAAAGGGTCAAGGGCAGTGACCATACATTTGTGAAAAACATTTTACCTTGTGGTTGGTCAATATTAATTCTTTACTGGAAAGCTCTCCTTGACGTGTGCTGCTGCCTTAAACAAACCAGTTAATGTTTAATTGTAATTTCTACAGTAACCTCAGCATAATGTTCACTTTAAAGAATGCTTCACTTGTTTACAAATTTTAAACATCATCCTTGCGGATATGTGAAGGCAACATGGGAATTAAGAAAAGTGCAGAGAAACAGCCATTTGGTCCATCAAACCAGCATTGAAATATATCATGGACTCTGCCATCTGCCCAGTTCCCTGGATTCCATTTCTATATGCGATTCTCCTGCCCTGAATTCCACCTGTTCACTCCAATTTAAAGAGTAACTCATATTCTATGTTCCCCACTGACATAGTTGAGATCCATAAACCCCTTCTTCAAACCAACTGAAACCGTATTTATTAATTCATCATTGCAATGTTTCTCCCATCCCTGCAATATTAAATATGATTAAACACAGTACTGTCAGCACAATGTTGTCAGGGAATCTAGAGTTAGTGAGCCCCACAGATAAAATTATAGGCTGTTTTCTCAAATTATTTATAATTAAATCTACTGTTATAATTGGATCAGTAGATGCAACCACAATGATGATTCATGTAGCCTTTACACAAGCACAGAGCATCCCAAAGTACTTCAATGAATAAGTCACTCCGAGTTTGTCAGTAATTAAGCAATGTGCACTCTCAGACACAGTGATGTGCAGGAGGATAAGGGGATTGGTAAGATCTGGTTTTTAAAACAACAGCACAGAAGAACAAACAACTACTTGCATTCCTAGTGCTTTGAAGATAAAACGCACCAAGGTGGTGACGAACTACTGTATTGAGTGAACGTGAGTGACTGACTGAGTCAAAGCAGACTCAGGGGTGGCAGAGAAATAATTCATGACTTAGCTCAGTAATCTTTCCGTTAGTATCACTTACTAACTGCCTATAATTTAACAGTGGGCTGTGAGTAGCCCAGAAATAGACCAAAGATACTGATTCAATGATGTATCATGCTGGCCATTACAGGTAAGTATTAATGCCAAAGCTTTCACTTTCCTTCAGGTTACCTCTGAAGGCTGATCATTGATGTGGGATTTGAGATGAGAGCTCCTGCTGTCACTGTGAAGCAGTAAAAGGATGTAGCAATGCCACATATACAACAAATGTTATCTGGATGTGACGTGCATAATTATTAAAGATATGTTTTGAAATTTTAACAACATATTCAGTTTCCATGGGGGGACACTATTGGCACCAGAGGCCAATCAGTGGAGACTATGTCAGCTCTCTATAACAGTGATCTTCCAAGTTTAAGACCCTCCCCCCAATGCAAGTACATTTCTTAATCTGCTGTCCCAGTAAATAATTTTCAACACCTCGATCAAACCTCAGATTTAACTTCGGTAAAGAAACCTAGCTTCTCTAATTTATCCATATAACTGACTTTCCTCAGGCCTGGAAAACATTCTTCTAAGTCTTTTCTACACCTCTTTAAAGTCTTTGCATCCTTCCTGAAGTGCAGTGCCCAGGTTTGGACACATACTCCAGTTGAGGCTGTACCAATGTTTTATAAAAAGATTCACCATAATTCCCTTCACTTTTACCCTATGCCTTTATTTTTAAAAACGCCCAGGGTTATGCATGCCTTTTTTCACCAAATTCTCAACCTGCCCTATCCCCTTCAACAGTTTTTGCTCACATCCCATCTTCAGGCCTTCTGTTCCTACACAGAAAAAAGGTACAGCCCCAGAGTGAGACTGGAATTCAGAGGCTGGGACTCATCAGTTCTGAAAAGGTTATTTTAGAGGGAAATGTGTACTGGAGAAAATACTTCAATACGGTACAATTCAGATAAATACAGGTAAGGTTCAGGGAACCAGTTTCAGACAGGCACCTGGAAATGTTTATTAATTGAAGGTGTTAGCTGTAACATCTTGAGGCCAGTACTCTGGCTTCATTTAATAGCTGGAATGTGTGATGGGAGACAAGAGGGTTGGTACTAGAGAACAATGGAGTCAAACAGGCTCCAGTACATCCACCTGATCAAATGGGCAGAGACTGTGTCCTGGCAGTCTCTGGCAATACTGACCTGTCAGTGTGTACACGTGCCAGAAATATCTGCTGAATATCATTATTCACACTTTCATGGTGCTTCATTGCTACTTTAAAAACTTTCCACAGATTCACAATCATGTTTAGTTGGGCCAGCAGCTGATCAGCCAGGAAGCTGATCACAAGCAAAGAATTAATATTGACAATTCCTTTGCCCAAGTTGCAACCAAAGTCACTGCCATTCAAATGTCTTTCTGTATTTAATAAGTAACAAAAACAATTTCATCAGCCATGGCAGGGCACCATTGTACCAAGAGCTCACTGGACATGGGATGGGAGGGCAAGGAAGGGGGACGGAGGGGCAAAGAACTCGCAAGTCGTACCTCTGTGCTAGGACCTGTAATGTACTGCACGCAAACAGGAGGCTGCTACAGCTTTTGGTTTGTTTTAAATTTATGTGAAAAGTAAAGTTAATTCTTGAAAATTCCCTTCCATCCCCTGTAGTTTGAAGAGAATTCTGTAACAAATCTGCACAGAAACAATTCCACAATTGTCAAAAAAAATTATGGTGACAGGAAACGAATATTTAAATCCTGTGTTAAACATGATCAGCAAATACATTATGAAATAGCAAGCTTTAAAAAAAAAGATAAAGATTTATTTTTAAAAACAGGCAAAAGCATTCAAACACGGAGGTGTGTAGAGAAAGGAGTGTACCTGGCATGAGTACCTGCAATTCATTCACTGATTCCTTCATTTTTAATTTGCTTTCATGGGCGGCTCACAAGACCAGCGCAGTGTGAGATATGGTTCTCAGGTTCACTTAGTCATAAACCCTACACTTCCATCAATCCAAGCTATTGGCTCGAGTTACAGAAAGACTCCATTAGAGTGCAAGGCAGATTTTTTTTTAAAAAAAAAACATAAAAAAAACAAAAAAATCTACAACATCCGTGACATTAACAGATTTTGTTAAAACTAATTTTTTTTTCAAATAGATGCCTTAGATGCAGTTACAGAAACAGGAAAAAACCATTCTCCACCTACTTAATGAATTCTAACTTATTCAACTGATAACAATTCACAGCAACCAACCAACCAACCCACACAGTCTAATCAATTGCCCCAAATTTTACAGTTTTCTTAACATTATTTTTTAAAACAAATCCATTCATTGCCATTCACCAGATCCAATACGGAACAGAAATGAGGACCAGGTTTCAGTACATTATATAGAATATGCAGAGGTAAAGTAAAGTACCTAGTGTCTCCCAGACGCACATTTTGTCTCTTAATCTGTCAAGACTAGTCTGTAGTCCTCGCTCGGCGTTTTACACAGTATACCTTCCCGTGCGTTTGTTGGTTAGAGTCTCTCCATCTTCTCTGTTGCAATACTTACACTGCACTGCTAAAGCGAACCAAACAAAAACAAAGGGCAAACCCTAACCGAGGAATGCAAAAGAGACACTTACCTTGGTCTGATCTGAGGTCAAATCAGATCAGTTTTAATTGGACTGAGTGTCACCTTCAGATTTTAGGTCTTCATCTCTCCCATTGACCTCGCTTTTAGTGGCGTCCACCTCCATGGCGTCTGGTCGAGGCTCTGCACTCTCTTTGTCTGTCTGACTGGATTTCCGACTGCTTTTCCTCATCTCATCAGAGTCTCTTCTTTCTGAAAGGCAGAAATGTCAATGCAAACTAACTGCAGACAGTAGCATTATTTTCAGGTAATGGTTGAATGGAGATGGCAGCAGGATTGGTTCATTTATCAATGGCTTTAAAATTTGAGGGGAAATTAAAAGATTTTCATTTTTTAAACAGCCATGAGTTGTGGTGATCTGGAACACATCAGCTCTACAGGTTGTGAAAACGGATTCAATAGTAACTTTCAAAACAGAACAGGAAGAGAGCTGGGGAGTGGAGTTGATTGTTACTGTGCAGTCACCACCCAATGGGCCAACTGGTAACACGGTTTCCTGTCATTAATGTTTTAACTTTTACATTCCAAGCACAGAAGGTATGGTTGTAACCCGATAAAGACACCACATTAAACATCCACTGGACTGATTTGATTTTGAAGTATTTTCAAAGCTTTCCTTCAGCTTTTGTTCACTATGCAATGTTAATTAACATCAAAGAATTCCTCCCATCAACATTCTAGGGGACATTTAAATACTGCAGCAACAAGAGCAGGCAACTTACTCTTCACTTCCCAATGCCCACGTACTTCAAACAGGAGGTGCACGTCACTCAGCCCCCTTCAGCCTTCTCCCCTATTCAATACAATCATTAGACCTTAGTCTCACCTACTCAGTAACCTGTAAACCCTTGCTCAAACCATTCCAAAGACTCCTGACACAGGGAAAAGAATCTTTTAAATTGGCAACTCCATTTAAACACTAAATTCGCCCATAAGAGGAAATATCCTTTTAAGATTCACCCTGTCAAAGCCCTCCACCTTCATGATACTATTTCAATAATGTCACTTCTGACTCTTCTAAACTCCTGCAGATATAAACCAAGCCCGTCCATCTTTCATCGCATAAGGCAACCCGCCCATTCCAGGCATTACACTTCTATACCTTTCCTAAACTGCTTCAAAAGCATTCCATCCCTCCTTTATTATGTTGGCCATAAGACACAAGAGCAGAATTAGGCCATTCGACCATGGCTGATATATTTCTCAACCCCATTATCCTGCCTTCTCCCTGTAACCCTTGATAAGAACAAGTACCTACCTAACACTGTCTTAAATACAGTCAATGACTTGGCCTCCACAGCCCTCTTGCAGCAATGAGTTCAACAGATTCACCACCCTCTGACTAAAGAAAGTCCTCTTCATTACAGTTCTAAAGTGTTGTCCTTTCACTGAGGCTGTGCCCTCAGGTTCCACTCTCTCCTATTAGTGAAAACATCATTCTACATCCACTCTACCCCGATCTCTCAGTATTCTGGAAGTGTCAATGAGACTCCCCCAGTCCTTCTAAACACCATCCAGTACATACCCAGAGTCCTAAACCACTCATGAGGAGCCCGTCGGCCCCGGGATCATTCTTGCAAACCTCCTCCAGACCCCTGCCAACAGCAGCACATCCTTTCTTAGATATGGGGCCCAAAACTGCTCACAATATTCCAAATGTGATCTGTCTAAAGCCTTATATAGCCACAGCTGTACATCCATGCTCTAGGCCTCTTGAAGTGAATACTAACATTACATTTGCCTTTCTAGCTGCCAACTGAACCAGTATGTTCTGTCCCAGTCCTGAACTGGGACTTCTAATTCCCTTTGTGCTTCAGATTTCCAAAGCCTTTCCTCGTTTAGAAAATAGTCTAAGCCTCTATTCTTCTTCCCAAAGTACAAAACCTCTCACTTTCCCAACTGCATTCCATTTGCCATTTCTTTGCCCACTCTCCCAGCCTTTCCAAGTCTTTCTGCAGCCTCCCCACTTTTCGCAACACTACTGTATCATCTGCAAACTTAGCAACAATACCCTCAGTTCCTTTGTCCAGATCCTTAAAGTTTAAAGTTTAACATGGATATTGTGGTCCCAGCATAGATCCCTGCACAACTCCACTAGCCACCGGCTGCCATCCTGAGAGAGACCCCTTTATCCCTACTCTCTGCTTTCTGCCAGTCAGCCAATCCTCTGTCAGTACCTTGTCTCTAACACCATGGGCTCTTAAGCTATTTAGCAGCTTCCTGTGACCTTTTGGAAATCCAAACAGATCTTGTCAACTGGCTCTCCTTTATCTAACTTGCCTGTTACCTCCTCAAAGAATTCTAACAGGTTTATCAGGTAGGAGTTTCCCTTGACTAAGCTGTGCTGACTCAGTCCTATTTTACCATGCACTTCCAAGTACTCTGCAATCTCATCGTTAGTAATGGACTCTAAAATCTTACCAAGCACCTTTAGGAAATTTGGAAATAAATTAAAATGCAGAATGTCACACACCGTAATCTCAGGACTATTCCCAGTGCCACATGCTAGCAACAACAGGCATAAGTTAAATGTGTGCCAGGAGAGATGGCATACCAGACAGGGGTTTAGATTCTTGAGGGATTGGGCCTGTTTCTGGGGAAGGTGGGACCTGTACAAACTGACAGCTTGCATCTGGGTAGACCGGGGACAAATATCCTTGCTGGGGCTTTGGCTGGATCGGTTGTTGAGGCAGGTGGATGAGAACCAAAGTGAAGTCTTAGATGGATCACATTCAGATCAGGAAATGGGAGGCAGAATAGACTGGGGGACAAAAAAAAAGGCAGTAGCAGTATTGATTAAAGAATCAATTACAATCGTGAGAAGGGATGATATACTAAATGGGTTAACAAATGAGGCTTTATGGGTTGAGTTTAGGAACTAAAAAAGGGCAGTCACACTACTAGTATACTACAGACCCCAAATAGAGAGGAGGAGATAGAGGAACATACAAAACGAAAATATTTTGCCTGTAGGAATAAGTGGGCAATAATTGTAGGAGACTAACTATCCTAATATCAACTGTGTTTCAAACAATACAAGTGGCATTGAAGGTGAAAAATTCACGCACTGGGAATGTCATGTCATACACCATGTCCAGAAAGTTTTCTTAACGTGTGACATGCTCAACAAGAGGAGATGCAATGCTGGATTTAGTTTTGGGAAACGAAGAGGGACAAGTGAGCGAAGAGACAGCAGGCTACCATTTCAGGGATAGTGACCACAATTCAGATAGATTTAGTATTATTGTGGAAAAGGACAGGGAAATCAGGAGGAAAAGTCCTTAACCAGGAGTAGGCAAATTTTACAAAACTGAGAAATGATTTGGCTGAGGTGAATTGGGCAGGACTGCTAAAGGATAAATCAGTGGTAAACCAGTGGTAAGCACTAAACGAGATCTTTACAGCATGAAGGATGTCCCCTCCAAAAATAAGAATGGTACTGCCAAATCTAGACTCCTGTGGTTGTCTAGAAAAATACAGGGGAAGATCAAACAGAAAGAGAGAGCTTACAATAGTTACCAAAAAAAACTCAACACTGCAGATCGCCTAGGTGAACACAAAGTACAGAGATCAAGTTAAAAAAGAAATAAGGAAATCAGAGGGTATGAAAAAATACCAGCAAGATAAAGGAAAATCCAAAGATGTTTTGCCAGTATAGGAAGAGCAAGAGGATAGTTAAAGAAAAAATGGGAACTATCAGAAATTAAGGAAACTTGTCTGAAGATGCAGAGGATATGGGAAGATTTTAAATGAATTTTTTGTCTCCTTATTCACAAAGGAAAGGGCTGATATGGCTATAGTGCTCCAAAAGGAAGCGTGAAATATTTGACAAAATAATTATAACAAGAGAGAAACTTAGAAAAGTTGAAATTCTTGGAAGTGGACAAGTCATAAGGGCCAAATGGATTGTTCACTGGGATGTTGAAGGAGGTCAAGGAGGAAATAGCAGAAGCTCAGAGCATTATTTTCCAATCTCTATTAGACACGTGCTGGAGGAATGCAAATGTGTTTCCGTTGGTTAAAGAGGGTACAAAGGAAATGCCAATCAATTATAGGCCAGTTAGTCTTACATCGGTGGTGGGCAAATTGTTAGAATCAATCCTGGGAAATTGGATAAATTGTCATTTAGAAAGGCATGGACTAGTTGGGGATAGTCACCTTGGCTTTGTTAAGGGAAGGTCATTCCTTATAAATTTGATTCAATTTTTCGAGGAAGTGATAAGGAGAAGCGATGAGAATAGTGCAATGGATGGTGTCTACTTTAGTAAGGCATTTGACAAGGTACCACACAGAAGGGTAGTCAAAAAAGTAAAAGCCAATGGGGGACAGGGTAATGTATCACTGGCTAAGTAACAGAAAACAAAGAGTAATGGTCGATGGCTGCTCTTCCAAATGAAAAGTTGTTTCAAGTGGTGTTCCATAGGGAAAGTGGGATTAGAAAAGGCATCTAGGTGTCTTTGGGTAAGCATGGACGAGGTGGGCTGAATGCCCCCCTTCTCTGCTCTATCATTTCTGTGGTTCTATGGACCAAGGTCAGGCTAACAGCTTATGGCTGCTTGTCTTCTGCTTCTCTTCCTATTTAAACAGGGGTGTTACATTAGCCATTTTCCAGTCCTCTGGCACCCTCCCTGACTCCAGTGATTCCCGAAACACCACCAATGGCTCTACAATCTACACAGCTATCTCCTTCAGAGCTCTAGGGAGTAGTCCATGTAGTCAAAGTGATTTACCCACCTTCTCCTCAACAATGGCTACTATACTCACCTCTGCTCCCTGACTCTCTTGAAGTTCTTGTACATTGCTGGCATCTTCCACCGTGAAAACTGATGCAAAGTACCTATTCAGTTCCTCCACCATATCTTTGTTCCCATGTCAATCTCTCCAGCCTCATTTTCCAGTGGTCGAATGACCACTCTTCACCTCTCTTACCTTGTAGACATCTAAAAATTACTCTTGTAATGTTCTTTTATATTACAAGTTAGCATACTCTCATTTTGTGTTCGTCCCCCTCTTTGCTTTTTTTTTTTAAAAAGGTTATCCTCTGCTGGTTTTTAAACACCACTATCCTCCAGTTGCCTTTAATCTTCCCCATATTGTATGTTTTTTATTTTGTTTCAATGTTGCCCCACTTCCCTGGGCAGCCATGGTTGATTCATCCTCCCTTGGGATGTACTCCAGATGCGGTCTCATCAGTGCCTGTGTACCCAATGCATACTCTCCCTACTTTTCTATTCAACTCCCTTGCGATAAATTATATTCTATAAGCTTTCCTAATCATTTGCTGCACCTGCATATTAACCTTTTGCAATTCATGCACTTGGATACCCAGATCTCTCTACATCTCAGAGCTCTCATTTAGATAATGCTATTTTTATTCTTCCTGAAAAGTTCACAATTCTTGGCTGCTTGATAACATCTTTGACCCTATCTGTCCTCTCTCCTTTGGAATGTACTGATTTTGTGTATTCTGCAACATCCCTTTTAATATTTGCCACTGTATCTTTATTGATCTATTTCTTAACCTAAATTTCCAGTTCAATTTAGCTAGCTCTGTTTTCTTGCCCTCATAATTCCCTTATTTAAGTTTAAAACACTCATCTGGATCCAATCTTCACTCCCTCCAAATATAAAATCACATGTATGTCAGGAGGGTGATGGAACACTCTCCATTTGCCTGGATAAGTAGAGCTCTGACAACACAAGAAACTTAACACTGCCCAGGACAAAGCAGTCCAGTTGATTGGTGCCCTATCCAATACCTTCCACATTCACTAGGGGCAGGCAATGGCCTAGTGGTATTATCGCTGGACTGTTAATCCAAAGACCCAGATAATGTTCGGGGGACCCGGGTTCAAATCCTGCCATGGCAGATGGTGGAATTTGAATTCAATAATTATCTGGAATTAGGAATCTAATGATAACCATGAATCCATTGTTGATTGTCGGGAAAAACCCACCTGGTTGACTAATGTCCATACTTACCTGGTCTGACCTACATGTGACTCCAGACTCTCAACAATGTGATTGGCTCTTAACTATCCTCTGGGTTGGACAATTAGGGATGGGCAATAAATGCTGCCTAGCCAGCAATGCCCTCAGCCAGTGAATGAATAAAACAATTCCTCCATCACCACAGCAGCAACAGCATGTACCACCCATAAGATTCATTGTAACATCTCATCTTCCAAACCCATGATCGCTACCATCCAGAAGGACAAGGGCAGCAAACGCATGGGAACACGACCACCTTCACCAAGACTTGAAATTATATTGTCTTTTTGTCATTGAGGTCAAAATCCTGGATCAGTGCTTTGGATGCAGCAGCTATCCAAGACAAAAGCTCATTACCACCTTCGCCAGGCCATTGGGGTTAAAAAAAAGTCTACTTGCCAGCAGTGCTGCATCTCTTTAACAAGTAAATTATTTTCACAATATTTTGGGATGGAATGTGTGGTTTCAAAAGTTGAGAGACAGACCCTAACTGAAAAAGTAAACAGAAAAGAGAAACCCACTCTTGGGAGTTTAATCTAGACAAGTGTGAGGTGATGCATTTTGGGAGGGTCAAATGCAAGAGGAAAGTATACTGTAAATGGCGAGTAAACTGACCATTTCATAATGTGTATAATGCATAGTTTACTTATAATGCATAGTTTACAATCAATTTACCTGTTAATTCAAGTTTAATTTATGAATATTCTAAGTTTAGGGTATACCCAAGGTAGTGTTTGCTTTGTTAGATTCACTTAAAATTATTTTGCTTATACTGTAGATCTTGTGGTTTAACTCTTTCAGTAAGAAATTGGGATTTCAGATTTATTCTTTTAATAAACATCTCTACAATGATTACATCAACACTGAGGTAGTCAATATTAGGACATTCCATCTGCCAATCATTTGGATTTGAAGCGACTGTGCTCGCAGGACAGTTGCACAGAATGTGTCGGGTGAAGAGGGATTGTTGTCACATCCAGCCAAACCAGCTGTCACATTTAGCATATGCAGGAGTGGGGGAATCAAGATTGACACTCCAAGTTCGATCCAGGGCTGGAGTTGCGGGTTTGACAGATACACAGCTCACTGACACATAGCTGGGCTCATCCAACAGTGCTCGGAACATCTGTAACTGCAGGTTTAGTTTGCAAACCACAGTTCCTGCACTGCAGACACACAAGCACCTTAATGTAACTGGCTCCATGCTGGGGAAAGGCCTTGGGAGATATCAGTGAGACAAATCAACATATAATGTAGAAAAACACAGTCAGGCAGAGCCTGGATGCCTGTACCTTTGTCCTTTGACCTTCTCTCTTTCTCCCTGCTCCTACTTCTGTGTTTGTGTGACCTGACATCCCGACTTCGTGATCGGCGCCGATCCCGACTCCGGGACCGGTGTTTCCTTTCTGATCGGTCTCTGCTTCTCTCAGAGCGGTCTCTGCTCCGCCGATCCTCACCCCTTTTGTGAAATCAAAATTGAAGTGCATGCTTAAAAATGAAATTTAACACTTTGCTAACATATCTTAACACAAAAAAACTTTTAATTATCTAGCACCTTTAATGCAGTAGATGTCTCAAAAAAAGTGTTTCACAGGAATATTATCTAATGAAATTCAACACAGCCACGTCAGAAAATATAACAGATTTGCAAAAAAAAAAACACTATCAAATGTGAAGTAATAAACAAAATGAATAACAAATGTAGTATGTGGAAGTATGCCCAATTTAAAACACTCCCTGAGATAACCTCAAAAACCTTTGTCTCATTGTTCTTAGCAAGGATTTCAAAATGTTTCATAAACTCCCTAGAAATGCCCTTACATTATTGATGCGTTCTTGCAATCAACCTTGCTTGATTAAGTCAACAACACAAGTGTAGAAAAGCTGTACAACAACTAGATCACATATTAACTGGTCAAAAATTAAATTATTTGAGTTTTAATTCATTAATTTATCACCTGGAAACCGATATCCATTTCAAGCCTACCAACTCCCACAGCTACCTAGAATACACCTCCTCTCACCCACCTTCCTGCAAAAAGGCCATCCCCTGTTCCCAACTCCTTCGCCTCCACCACATCTGATCCCGAGAGGAGGCATTCCACTCCCAGACATCCCAGATGTCCTCGTTTTTCAAGGACCGCAACTTCCCCTCCACAGTGGTCGAAAACGCCCTCGATCGTGTCTCTCGCATTTTCCGCAACTCATCCCTCACACTCCCTCCCCACAATAACAGCCAAAACAGAATCCCCCTCGTCCTCACGTACCACCCCACCAACCTCCGGATCCAAAGCGTCATCCTCCGACACTTCCGCCATCTGCAATCTGACCCCACTACCAAAGACATTTTTCCCTCCCCACCCTTATCTGCTTTCCGGAGGGACCACTCTTTCCGTGACTCCCTTGTCTGCTCCACACTCCCCACCAGCCCCACCACACCCGGCACTTTTCCTTGCAACCGCAGGAAGTGCTACACCTGCCCCCATACCTCCTCCCTCAACCCCATCCCAGGCCTCAAGACGACTTTCCACATCAAGCAGATGTTCACCTGCACATCTGCTAATGTGGTATACTGTATCCACTGTTCCCGTTGTGGCCTCCTCTACATCAGGAAAACCAAGCGGAGGCTTGGGGATCGCTTTGTGGAACACCTACACTCGGTTCGCAACAAACAACTGCACCTCTCAGTCATGAACCATTTCAATTCCCCCTCCCACTCCTTGGACGACATGTCCATCCTGGGCCTCCTGCAGTAGCACAACGATGCCAACCAAAGGTAGCAGGAACAGCATCTCATATTTCGCTTGGGAACCCTGCAGCCCAATGGTATCAATGTGGACTTCACAAGCTTCAAAATCTCCCATCCCCCGACCTCATCCCAAAACCAGCCCAGCTCGTACCCGCCTCCCTAACCTGTCCTCCCACTTATCCACTCCTCCCACCTCAAGCCCCACCCCCATCTCCTACCTACTGGCCTCATCCCACCTCCTTGACCTGTCTGTCCTCCCTGGACCGACCTATCCCCTCCCTAACTGCCCACCTACGCTCACCTTTACTGGCTCCAACCCTGCCTCCTTGACCTGTCTGTCTCCTCTCCACCTATCATCTCCTTTATCCGTCTTCTATCCGCCTCCCCCTCTCTCCTTATTTATTCCAGAATCCCCTTCCCCTCCCCCATTTCTGAAGAAGGGTCTAGACCCGAAACATCAGCTTTCCTGCTCGGCCTGCTGTGCTCATCCAGCTCTACACCTTGTTATCTCATTAATTTAACAGTTTCTTACTCTTGACTCCACCTGGTCACTTTCCTCTCCTGAACCACTGCCAAGTGGGAGAGGTGTGGTAAAAGAGAATAAAAGTAGTGAGAGTGGGAGAGTTTGGAAGTCAGCCACAGGAAAGACAAGTGCTGACATGGGCTTCAGATTCCAGGAACTGACAAATCAATTTTGGCTGTTCATTAGTCATGGAGGCAGGAATTTCACTGTTTAGTTTCCTGTTGTGGGGACTCTCATTTCCTTGCGTGGGTTGAAACAACAATAACACATTTGACCGTAAAATAAATATGGCATTTGCTGGACCTTTGCAGTAACACAGGCATGCTACTTAAGTGACTATATTCCTGGAAACTGGATGCTGCAATATATAGCTCAGACACGGGCACTCCAAAAGATAAATGCACTGGGTTGTCAGGGGATCCCACTTACCAGTACAATGCCAAGCAGAGGAAAGAATGGGTGCACTGCAGGCTAACTGCTGCACCACAACCACAACCACAGCTTCCCACCAGAGTCAGGAGAACCTCAGTACTATACCGCTAGCTTCACAGCAACCATTACTTAAGACTATAATCAATTGCTGTTTAAAAAAAAAATCCATCTGGTTCACTGACGGCCTTTAAAGCAGGAAATCTGTCGTCCCTACCCAGTCTAGCCTACAGGTGACTCCAGACGCACAGCATCATAGAATCCCTACAGTGTGGAAACAGGCCCTTCAGCCCAACGAGTCCACACCAACCCTCAGAGCATCCCACCCAGACCCATTCCCGTATAACCCACCTGATCTACACATCCCTGAACACTATGGGAAATTTAGCATAGCCAATCCACCTAACCTGCACATCTTTGGACTGTGGGAGGAAACCGGAACACCCAGAAGAAACCCACGCAGACATGGGGAGAACGTGCAAACTCCACACAGACAGTCGCCCGAGGATGGAATCGAATCGGGTCCCTGGTGCTGTGAGGCAGCAGTGCTGACCACTGAGCCACCGTGCCACCCCAATGTGGTAAATTCTTAACTCCCTCCGAAAGGGCCTAACATGCCACTCAGTTGAAGGACAATTGAAATGGGGTGGGTGAGGAAACTATAATCGTAGCATACACGGGAACACTGCGTACACACACAAGCGAGAGGACTGAAGTGTCTACTGACTGGGAAGACAAACTGAGGTGTTGGGAGACTTGTGTGTTTCATGAACAGAAGGATGGAGCATCTTGACCCAAGAGGCAGCTTCTGATCACTAATCATCACTAACTCTCAGCTCCCCTCCACATCACCTGCTCCTTACCTGCTGCGTTTCTTTTCACGTTCCTTACTGCGCGACCGCTTGCGCTCTCGTGACCTGCTTCGCCTTCTGTCGGACGCCCGGCTAGAATGGGAATGCCGGCTCCGTGAGTGGCTCCTCCTACGCCGTGCCTCCCTCTCTCGCTCCTTCTCCTCCTCCTCCCGCCGCCGTTTCTTCTCCCTCTCCTCCCGCTCACGCTCTCGTTCCAGCTCCCGTTCTTCTCTCTCACGTTTTAATTTGTCATCACGTTCTGGCTCTTCAGTCTTCTTCCGAACCTTCTCCTGGACAGAAATAAAACACTAAATACACAGCCAGAACACCATATTATACAATGAAGCAGCTCATTCCAAATGCAGCAAGACCTGGAAAAACAGGGATGCCACACGTGCCAGGTAATGACCATTCCCAACAAGAGAAGCTAGCCATCACCCCCTGACATTCAATGGCATTACCATCACTGAATCCCCTATCAATATCCATATCCTGAACTGGACTAGCGAGTAAAATACTGCGCTACAACAGCGGATTGAGAATTCTGCAGCAACCTCATCGCCTGACTTCCCAAAGCCAAGTCAGAAATGTGATGGAACACTCAACTTGTCTGGAGCACTGCAGCTTTGACACTATCCAGGACAAGGCAGCCATTCAAAACTTTAAACATTCGCTCCCTCCACTGATGCTTAGCAGCAGCAGTGAGTATCTACAAGATGCACTGCAGCAGTTCACCAAGGCTCCTTCGAAAGCACCTTCCAAAACCATGACCTCTACCATCCAGATGGATGGAAGCAGATACATGAGACCACAGTCTGCAAGTCATTGTCTCCTATCCACACCCCCAAGACATACGCGCACACACACAACTTAATCACCTCAATCTTCCAAGGGAAAAAAACATTTGTTGTCTTTGCACGCTGCCCTCAATTAAGTTTTTCTATCCCATTATGTTCTGATCAATTTATGCTACACTCACTCCCTTCTGGTGCCCAGAACCGAACCTAGGGACTCCAGGTCAGGTATATCCTCAGTTCAACACAGTATTTGTAACACACCAGCCTTGCACTAACCTTTAGTTCCTCCACAGTTGCTTTGATCTTCGCATAGCCCATGTGCTGCTTCCCCATTAAGTGATCATCCACCCTGGACTGCGCGTCTCCTACGATGAGGAATGCACCACACACTTCACACACCTCCATCTGCTTCTCCTGGGCCGCAAAGCTCTCGATGGTCTGCAGAATTATTTAAAAAATATCCTGTAGGGTCATGCATCCAACCATGTGAAATAATAAAAGACGGCAAGCCAATAAGCCTCACCGAGCTGGCAGATCGCAGTTGCTCTCGCTCATCTTTCAGCTGTTCGACAAGTTTCATCATACCCTGGGCCTCTTCCACTTTCCCCTCAGAGCCCAGCTCCTCAATCTGAGAAAAATCAAAGCAAGATCGGATTACAAGCGTCTTTCACCTCCTCAGAACATTTCACAGCCAGGGAAGTGCTTTAGAAGTGCAGCAACACTCCTAACATAGTGAACACAGCAACCAGTTAGTACATAGCAATTTCCCTCAAACAACAAGACGAGAATTTGATAATTTGCTTCAGTGATCTTGATAGAAGGATGATTATAGGTCAGGACACCTCCAAGAACCCCCGTTTTGTCAAAATAATCCCATAGGATGACTTTCATTCACCAGCGAGGACAACAAAATCAGCCTCAATTTAACATTTGATCTGAAAGACAACATCTGACAGTGTAACACTCCCAAAGCACTGCATTCAGAATATCAACCTGAAAGACTTGAATCCATATCCAGCTGACAAAGGAATGTGCAGTCACAATGCTGTGTATCTGCATGAGCCACCACATGGGATGAACATTTTTGGAAATGATCTGCCTCCTCCAGCCCCTTGTATCGGAGGCACAGTGTAATCTGATTAATAACTTCATGGGAAATTCCTCAAACCAGCCTCTCATACAGACCATAATCAACTGACTCCAGAAAGGCACTTGGGAGTTTCAGGGCCATGCCTTGGCCTGCCAAATGGCAGAATGCAGAGCCAGCATTCATGGGATTGTCTGGATACAGACATTTTACTAACAAAGGATGGCTGGTTCAATTTTCTGCTGACCACTTGATCAACAAATCAAAGTAAATTCAGGAAACCTAAAACCCAGCCTTTTCCCAGAGTTATTAGAGCAGCTCCACTCTCAGCTCTTACCTGTTCCAGGAGTTCTTCGATTTTCTCTGTTAAAACCTGACCTTTCTCTTCATTCTTACTCACAGGCCCTCCGGTCTGCAAGAGACAGACAGAATGAGTAACTCAGAAACAGCAATGTTTGCACAGCAACTAATCACACACTCCACTGTACACATACACTCCTCACCATGCAAATCCCTCCACACACTACTCGCTCTCAACAAACCAACTGCTTTACAAACATTCCCACCGAGTGGGCTTAGCTATGTGTCTATAGAATGAGACTATGTTGAAGAATGAGATTGGGGAAGGTTTAAGCTGTTAACAGTGAATCAGTGCCCAAGCCTGGCATTTACCGCTGTTCCAGGTGTCGTGTTCTGGGATAGCGCCAACCGAGCATGACCTCGACGGATCCGCCGCTCAACATCAGCCATCAGGTTTTGCAGATAACGCAAGAAGTCTTTCTCATAGCCCACTTTCATAAAACGAGAGCTCTTCTCATAGCTGTGGGAGCAAATGCCAGATATAACTTGGATATTCAGGGTGTTGGGACAATATACAAGAAGCCACAAAGCAAGAAACTTACTATTTCCGCAGGTTGTCATCATGAATCTTCTCACAGGGACCTTCAGGAGCAAAAATCAGAAGTTAATATTGCAAAAGCTACATCTGCCATAATGACCACAATGCCACAACAGGTCATTCAGCAAAACACCAATCTAGACCATCAAAAAGTCTATAGTGAGGAACCTCTTTTTATGTTTGTCTTAAATGCCATTCCCTCTCAAAGACTGTATATCAAAACATAAAAGCATATGTAGAAAAAGCCATGGAAAAAGCCAAAACCAATTTTTGTTTTATGAACAAGAACAAAAAGTTGAAGTGTAAGGCATCAATAATCAATTTATTGAATGCATTATGCCAGGCAGAGGGTGCTTGCAGTCAGCTGGACTGCAGATTCAGAAGTAGTGATGGCTGAAATGGAAACTGGTTATGAGGAGACCCCTACCCCTCTGGTAAAAGGCAGAAAAAGGAGCTTTAATCATCCTATCTTCTGACTAAGTCTACAAGACAGATAGGACCCTCAGTCCACTGAATCTGCACCAGTCGAAAGCAACCACTTAACTTTCTAATCTCCAGACTCATCCCAATTCTTTAATCGAACTCTTGCTCCCATATATTACCACTACATTGCTTAGTGTTATAATGTGCTTGGTCCCGCAAAGCCCCAGAATGTCATCACGTTAAAGTATCTATACAAGTTTAAAAGGCTATACTCAAAGGCATAGTAGATAGGAGCAGGATTAGGTCATTTGACACCTCAAGCTTGCTCTGCCAGTTAATAGGATCATGGCCGATCGAGCTAAATACTCGAATCCCATCCTCTTTCCATACCCTTGATCCATTCAGCCACAACAGTTCTATCTACCTCCTTGAAAACAATGCTTTAGCCTCAACCACACGTTGTGGGAGTGAATTCAAAAGGCTCACTGCTCAGTGAAAAATTTCTCATTTTAGACCTTAAAGAAGCTTACCCCGTAACTATGATCCCTAGTTCTGAACTTACTCTCAATCAGCAATATCCTTCCTGCAATCACACTGTCTAGCCCTATTAGAAATTTATGGGTTTCTAGGAGATCGCCCCATCACTGCCTGAAAAAAAGTGCTTCTAAACACCAGTGAATACAATCCTAACTGAATCAATCTCTCCTATGTCAGTTAGAGACAAAAAGACTGCAGATGCTGGAATCAAAGATAGACAAACAGGAGGCCAGGCAGCATCTGGAGGAAAGGAGCAGTCAACGTCTCAGGTATTACCCTTCTTCCTGCTGTGTTCTTCCAGCCTCCTGTTTGTCTCCTCTTACATCAGTCCTGCCATCCCAGGAATCAATTTGTTATATATTCCCAGTTATAACATCCAGGTCTCATTGAACGTTCCCCTCAGTTTACAGCCAAATAATAATCCGCCTTCCTATTTTTGCTACCAAAGTAGATGCACATTATACTGCATCTCCCATGCATTTACCCACTTTCTCACCCTGCCCACATCACACTGCAACATCTCTATTCTCACAACACATCCTTTCACCTAGCTTTGTGTCATGTGAATTTTCAGATAGTAAGTTTAGTTCCCTCATCTAAATCATGAACATTTATTGTGAATAGCTTGGGTCCTAGCACTGATCCCTGCAGTAACCTCACCGCAATTCAGAACAAGACCCATTTTTTCCTACACTGTTCCCTGTCTGCTAACCAATTTTCCATCCATCTTAATACACTACCTCCAATCCCACACTGCTTTAATGTTAGATATAGATCTCGTGGGATTTGTCAAAGGTTTTCTGAAAGTCCAAATAACACACATCCATTAGCTTCCCTGATGAACTCCTCTAGTTATATCCTTAAAGAAGTTGAGTAGATTTGTCAAGCATGATTTCCCTTTTGTAAATCCATGCTGTGTCTGATTCTACTCCTGTTTTCAAAGTGTTCTGCCATAATATCCTCAATAACAGACTCCAGCATATTCCCCATTGCCAACGTCAGACTCACAGGTCAAAAATTCAGTTTTCTCTCTACTTCCATTTCTAAATGGTGAAGCTAGATTAGCTACCCTCCAATCTGTAGGAACTGTTCCAAAGTCTAAAGAATCTTGGATGATGACTACCAATGCATCCACTATTTCTACGGCTACTTCCTTTAAACACAGGAATGAAAATCCATCAATTTTAAAAATAAGACGACAAACTGGCAGTAATGTCTTTACAGAGTGAAATGCTTTGCCATAGGGAACATGAAAAGCAGAATCCATTATATTTTAAGGGTAGGGTAAGGGACTTGCAAGGTGACACAATGGAAGTGAAGCTGTGAAATTAATAATGAATCAATTAAGCAGCAATCTGGTACAGGCTAAAGAGCCTCAAGTGCCCTTTACTGTGTAGTAAAGCTGTACAGTTCTGAGGTGATTCAGTCTCTAACACCTGTTCTTACAATTCATACACCATGTTATTTCCGTGCATTATTGAATGAAACAAGACTTGACATTACTGCTATAAATCTTCATCTGGAAACCATACATTTCGAAACAGACCAAACAAACCAAGGTTCCACCCGCCTGGTAGATGGATGTCTGTGCTCCTGTGACTAATCAAAATTGTGGGGGTTCTCCAGGGTATCCCAGATCAATTTTATCTCACTACCACCACCACTCTGGTCATTTATCACAACATTACCATGGATTCTTACTAAGCACAAATTAACTGACCACACTTCAAAAATTCTAAATTGGTTACAAAGCTTTAGGAGGTCCAGAGATTGACAGAGGTGCTTTGTAAATGTATGTCAATCTACATCTTGGTGCCCAGTAATGACTAGTTCAGTATTTAGCCTTCATAACCTTCTCTGAATTATGACAGTTGTGGTTCAATACCATGACAATCATGGCTTTGCCATCACCTACACCAGGATCTATAAACGGAGAGATTTGAAATGGAGAGATGGGGATCTTAAATTCAAGATGTTGCTAATATACATCAATAAGTACAGGGTTTATAGGTGAACAGAAGGTGAGGGAGAATTATAATCAGATGCTGCTTAATTTCTTCCTGTTGTTCTTGCCTACTGGGATGCTAATTCTGACTGGGGTCAGTTCATTCATCAGTTGCTTTCTGGAATACACACCCACAGGCACCAGCAATTCTTCACCATCTCTCAAACAGGTTATGGAAGTCAAATCCACTGCGGGGCATCACTGCTATGCCACATTATCTTGAAAGGCACACATGCCAGTTAGGAGTTTCAGTCAGTAGAGTGAGCAGGAACCCTAGAGACAGCTGCCCTTGCTTTAACTACCAGCATATGTAGGTTACTACAATATCTCCACTAACTGGGCAACACAGTGGCTCAGTGGTTAGCACTGCTGCCTCACAGTGCCAGGGACCCAGATTAGATTCCACCCCTCGGGTGACTGTGTGTGGAGTTTGCACATTCTCCCCGTGTCTGTGTGGGTTTGCTCCGGTTTCCTCCCACAGTCCAAAGATGTGCAAGTTAGGTGGATTGGTCATACTAAATTGCGCATAGAGTTCAGAAATTTGTAGATTAGGTGGGTTATAGGTGGATGGGTCTGGGTGGGATGCTCTGAGGGTCTGTTTCCACACTGTAAGGATTCTATGAACTAGAACTAAACAGGAAAGTTTTGCATATATGAAGCATTCTTACCCAGATCAGAGCGTGTGTTAGTAAATAACTCAGCCGGACAGAATCCACACAGGAAATATTTACATACCTGGGAAAGACAAAATAGAAACTGGTTACTAGTTTCAGTAGCAGATTCTCTTTCACAACATGCATCCATTCCACCCCAACATCCCAGTCCCATTCTGCAGTACACCAGCCAAGGGGTTAAAATAACACAGCAGCCCCTGGGTGTTGCTAAGGAATCTAAGAACAAAACAAAAGCAATACTTCAAGCCAATCAGCTCTATGTAACTCTGGATGAATACAGCCTTTGCTGCAGATTACCATCTTTTTAGATTCTCAATCAGATCCGGACAGATATTGCATTTATTTCAGGAAACAAAACAGGGGTGTAAAACGTACGCCCAAGTTTCAGCCACAGGAGTCACTGTAATGAGCCTGTTAGTGCATGCACTGCACAGTAAACGAGTGAATCAGAGATTGAGAATCAAAGTCCAGACTTTGCAGAGACAGGACAGTCACATTCTTACTGACAGGCTCAGCACTCATGTTGGGAGACATAAGCAAATCATCCAGGGTTTCTGCTTCTATCGTCAGAGGGGCCCTGCTGAAAGGAATATGGACAGCATGTGACACTGGTTGAAAAACACTCACATTCATAAGTTGTCATTTGGCAAAATACCAGAGGTGAGCTTCCACACCATAAAAAGGTTCAAGACAGGGTAAAAAGAACTAAAATGAGGATTGATTGATTTATTGTCACATGCACTGCAGCACAGTGAAAAACTCTGAGTGGTACAGGCAGATCATAGTATAGAAGGACATACAGATCATACAGTAAAATAAAACTAGACAGAGGCATAAAGTTACATCACAAAGAGCGTGCGCTTCTCAAGATGAACATTAGTAAGATCAGCATCATTTGAAATTAGAGCATCCATTCACCAGAATACTAACAGCCGGGAAGAAGCTGTTCTTGAACATGCAGGCTCGTGTTCAAACTCTATCTCTTCTGCCTGATGGAAGAGGTTGAGGGAGAGTATTGCTGGGGTGCGATAGGTCTTTGATGTTGGCAGCTCTTCCGTGGCAACAAGCCATGTAAATGGAATCCATGGATGGAAGGCTGGCTTCCGCAATGGTCTGGACTGCGCACATCACCTTCTGTATTTTCTTACGGTCCTGGGCACAGCAGTTACCACACTAGGCCATTATGCAGACAGATAGTATGCTTTCAACGGTGCATCTGTAAAAGTTGATGAGGGACCTTGTGGACATGCTAAATTTCCTGAGCCACCCGAGGAAGAAGCATTGTTGTTCCTTCTTGACCGTTGTTGGTTTTCGTCACTCCTAGGAACTTGACACTCACAACCTCAGCACTGTTGATGTAGACAGGGCATGTTCTCCTCCCTTTTTTCTGAAGTCAGTGATCAGTTCTTTGGTTTGCCAATATTGACAGAGGTTCTTCTCATTGCACCAGGTCACCAAGCCCTCTAACTCTTTTCTGTATGGACTCATCATTGCTTGATATTCACCTTCCTAAGAGTTTGCAACCCATCTGAACACTGGCAACATCAAGACAAAGTGAGCAGGCAGACAGCCAGTCTTCCAAGGTCCTCCTAAGCCAGTGACCGCCACAATCTACGGGTTTGCCTCTACTTCACACACCATCTTATTTGAAATTCACCACTGGTCCTGAATCATCATGGTCAAAATTCTGGAATAGTTTCCTTACCACTAAGAGTACCTGCTGTGCAAACTACACCATATCAAGATAGCTACTCACCACCGTTTTAAGGACAATTACGAAAGAGCAATAAACATTGGCTTTGCCAGCAACGTACAGAATCCATGAACAAATAAAACAAAAACCATAAAACACAATCAATGGTGAATCTTTCAAATTGCTCAATAAATTGGCAAGCAGCATGTTACAACAGGGTATTCCACTTAAAACTGTTAAGTCACACCCAATTCCTAACTGCTGCCTCGTCAAAATAAAGGTCAGTAGGGACAGAGCCAAAGAAAGAAGAATCTACAAGCACTTTGAGATAACCAGGTGCAGAGCTGGATGAACACAGCAGGCCAAGCAGCAGAGGAGCAGGTAAGCTGACGTTTCGGGCCTAGACCCTTCTTCAGAAAAAAAAATCTACAAGCACTTTGACAGGTTTTACACTACCATACTTTATTGATTAACAGTTAACCTAGGTCCCAAACAAGACATCAGCACAAGAACAGAGATAGTAGGAACTGCAGATGCTGGAGAATCTGAGATAACAAGGTGTAGAGCTGGATGAACACA